AGTAACAAGAGACTAGTTGTAAAAAAAAAAAACAAAAAAAAAAAACTGAAAAACAAGAGGAAGCATTTGACCATTTGGCAGAAGAATGGGTGGAAAAACAGAAGCTAGAAGCAAGCTTAAAAAAAAGAAAAATGCAAATGACCTGCAAACATTTCCAAATGTTGAACTTCTAAGCAATAATGCAATTTTACATAAACTCAGAAAAGGATACTATATATTCATACCAGATTGGTATAAAGTGGGAGATATGATCATATGATGATGATGAATGGAGCAATAAAAACTTGCATACACTAGTGATGTGAATGTAAAATTTTGGAGAAAAATATAGCATTTGTATACTGAACTCAAACATGGACACATGACATGGCCCAGCGAGTTCACCTTCTAAGAACACTTTTGCACGTTTGTAGTCAAATTATTTATACTAGCACAAAATTAGACATGACCTAGATTCCATCGATAGTAGAACAGATAATATATAGAATTTTTACACAATGGAATCTTATATAGCAGTTCTCTGTCTCTCCTTCTCTCTTCTCTCTCCACCCTCTCTCCCTCTCTCTCTCTCTCTCTCTCTCTCTCTCTCTCTCTCTCTCTCTCTCACTCTGTCTCTCTCTTTTCTCAGCCTTCTGTGTAGTTGGAATTATATTTGTACACTACCATGCCTGGCCATTTTAAATTTTTTGACAAAAGCAAATGAGAAAAATTAAGCCATATAATCCAATTTATACAAATTTGTTCACTAATCAATATAATTTAATTCATATAAAATTATCTTACCTCTATTTAGATACAAATACATGTAATACAAAATTGTATAAAGAAATATTTTTGTGAAATTAATGTCAAGAGTAACTCCAGGATGAAAAGAGTTATTATGTACAACAATGGTGGGGTAAGTCAGAAGTTTCCAAAGGTCTTGATAGCATTCTATTTCTTAAGCTTGTAGGAGATACACACATGTTAGCATTCATTATCACCATTCACTAAGTTACGCACAAATGTCATGTGCCTTTAATTTATATCATATTTTTTCACTATGAAACAAGTTTAAAAATAGAGAGTGAGAAGACAGAAGTGCTGGGGTGGAGTGGAGAAGTTCTCTAGAGGCTGCATGGAACAGGGAGGGAGCAGGGAGTTGAAAGATGTGGTGGTTTGTGGATACAGAGTATTCATGCTTTTGAGATGATGTGAACACATCAGGGAAGGTGAGGACTGATGAGGTAGCAGATAGGAGCAACCTTGCAAGAACAATGACCTTGAGTAGATACAAGGAGGTGGGACCCAGGGTGCAGATGGAAGGATACATACTAAATAGCTGCAGGGACTGATTATCCTTTAAAACTAGAAAGAGGATGGGTATATGCTAGTGAGGTGGTAGAAAATCAGGTAGCCTGTACTTATTTTCTCTATGAATTTCTCAAAGGCAGCTTCCCTTTATGTTGCTGGATTTGGACAGTTTGAGGAAAGAGTTGAATTTGTGAGCATGTTGTCAAGGGGAAGGGGAAAACAACTGCACTAGGTCTGGAAGAATATTGTTGGCCAGTGCTGAACATTCCCATGAGTGTTGTGATTGACATTTGAAGCAAGGTTGGCAACAGGGTTAGGGTCTTTCTCCAGGTCGGATGGCTGCTTAGGCAACTAGCAAAAAATACATTGGGTATTTTGCCAGATAACTTCAGCCTCCACAAAGTTATGTTGAAGTTCTAACTCTGTACCTGCAGTTATAACTTTATTTTAAAATAGGGTCTTTACAAAGTTAAGCTGTGGTCATATTAAATTGGAATGGGCCTTAAATATGATGACTGGTGTCTTTATAAGAAGAGGAAAATTTTGAAACATATACACATGTAGAGATAGAACAGCTGTGTCAACAAAAGAAAGAAATCATGGCAGACAGAGAAATGCCAAGGATTGCTGGCAATCACCAGAAGCTTGCGAGGCACAAAGAGAATCCACCCTACTGCCTTCAGAGGGAGCTTCAGAGGGCCATGCCAAAGTCTTGATTTTGTACTTCTACCCTGCAGAGCCTCAAAAAAAAAAAAAAATTCACCCAGCATCTTAAAGGCAGCCCAAGAAATGAATGCAGAAGATGACTATGAATACTGAACAGAAGTGAATGATCTAACCACAGGTCATTTAATCAAGCTTGCTTAGAAGTAAAGACAGAACATGAGGAAGATCTTGAGTGGTAGGAAAGTGGTAAGATTGAAGGAATCACAGTATTGATGGGATCAGATACTATTTAGAGGGAGTTCTTTAGTAAGTGAAATGTGAAGACAAGCAACAGTACCAGGGAACAGGATTTTTGAAATCAAGTTTTGACCATAATGGAAAAGTCCAAGTGTATATGTGTGGTAGTCATCAGAGAAGTGGGGTTTCTGGTTTTCTCAAGTGAGGAGCTCAAGGAAGTGAGAGCTCATGTGGTTGCATGCATCATGTATAACAGTGACTCCTAATTCTGTTAAATATTAGAAGTGTTTAAAAGTCATATAAGTATACCAATACCCAGGACTCACCCCAGGCTCATTAATTCAGGCTCTGCATCTCACCTCAGACATCTGAATAGAATAGACTTATCAAAATTCTCTAGCACATTCTAATATACATTTAGCTTTGAGAATGATTCTTAATTAAATCTCACAATAGCAGTAGTGTAGAGAAGGGTAGTGATGTGCAAAATTATTCAATGAATGAAAGGATATGCAGCTAGGTTGGTTGACAACAACAATAAAGAGGTTTAGAGCCTGCTATGATTTGATAGCTTGTACTTTAGAAGAACTGGGATCTGGAGGAAACAAGGGGATGACAATCTATGGAAAGTACTGAGAAGCCAAGAGGGTTAAGTGTATACCCCTTCCAGATGCCTTAATATGTGGACCATGGAAAAATAAATGTTCTTTATTTTAAAAGATTGTAGGGACACAACATCTTTGGAGAGATAGGGCTTGATTTATAGATAGAATATAGGGAGCATATTAAGAAACTGAAAATATAGGGACAAGTACTGCTAATGGACAAAGGGGACAGTGGAAGGGCTTTGGAAAGAGGTAAAGTGTTGGAGAGAAATACAGAGCCATAAATTCTCTTTTCTGCTAGAGAGCTTATGGTAGACCTGAGGCAAACAGAAGTAAAGATCACTGTAGGATTGACCTGAGCAGATTCTTAGAGGAAGTTTGGTAATAGCTTCCAAAATATGGTCCAGTTCAGCAGCAAAACCATCACCTGGGAACTAGTTAGAAAGGCGAATTCTTAGAACATGCCCAGAGTTACCATCTCAATTTCCTGGACCTGCCCCTGTATTTTAAAAGCCCTCCATGATGATTCTGATGCATGCTGAAGCAAAGAACGACTGTCAAAGTCACCTGGAAGATATAAAATACTAAGAGGTCTGCTGGGTCCTGGAGCTCACAGTCTTGAGGCAGCATGAAGAAGAGGATATTTATGTGACTTCTTTTGTAGGCTTAATTTATTCTCTTGTGGGATCTGATACTGTGGTATTAAAAGCTGAAGTTATTGAATGCCTCTTTTCAATCTCTGGTCTCTCTCACAGCCCAAGGCATTGTGGTATAGCAAAGAAAAGGGTGTGATGGTGCCCACTGGTTGTTTTTTCCATAGCCTCAGCTATGGTGATGTGGGTGACAGGGGACAAATACAAATGCCAACAAAAATAAAAATAAAACATATGATCGAGGGAACAACTTCACATAATAAAAATGTTTGTAAAATGAGTAAATAAAGCTTTGTAAAAATTCACTACCTCATCATTATTTTTCTGTTTTTCACATGAACTATAGAAAATGCCACCTTTTCAATTAGTTTACCTAAATTTGTGATTACATAGAATTTTTTAAGAGAACATTCTTTTGTATGTACTCAAAGATTAACTAGAATCCAGGTTTCAGTTTCTTAAATGAAATCAACTGTTCCTTTAGTATAGGTAACTTCTTGTCTTTATTTCATACCACAACTCGTTTTACTATTGATAGTTGACCTGAATAATCAATCATGGCAACAACAGGATTCCTTAGGAATCAAAAATTTCCTTACCATTGAAACTGTATTATTGTTCTACTTTAAGCACTTGTGTTTTATGATATGAAAAAGTAAATGATTACTTTGATCACATTTCTATGCTATAAAATGTCTTATTAGCAATAAAGATTAAATTATACATTGCACTATTTAGTCAGGAAATGATCATTTATGTCCTTCTTATTAATATTAAAACATGGAATGCTGTAACAATTAAGTGATCCAAACAATGTTGTGTTTGTGTCTGGCATTGATTCGCAGTAGAATAAAATTATACTTAAGTACTCTCAAAAGAAAAGAAAGAAAAAAAAGAAATGCCTCCTTTAATTAACTTTGATATTAATTCCAATATTTTGTAGTATAATCAACATTTCAGATTATATCTTCAGGGAAGCTCTTATCTTCCCTGCAAGATATTCTGAGAAATCCTTAAAAAATGGCCTTTTAAATTATCTTTCTCTTTCTTTTTGAAAGCAACATTCAAATGAAATTTTCTGTAATGTTATGGCTCATAAGTTAGAATGTAAAGTTAACTGATAGAGGTCATATCATGTTGACTATTTCCATAATTAAACAAGCAAGGAAGACTTTCCAAGTTCTCATCCCTAAAAATCCATATACCACCTACATTTAGCTGTAAACTAATTCTTTAGTTTTCCATTGTATTTTGGGCAACAAGCCACCTTGTTTTTAATGATCACTACTTATTATATAAGAAAATTACTTAATATCACAGAGCTGTACCTTGAAAGGAAATTTCTGTAGTAATCTTCAAGAATGCCAATATGTTAAAAACCAAAGCCTACAAGCTCTTGGAAGTTAGCCTTTCTTTGCAGCTTGCTTTGCTCTTGGGTGCCATATATTTGGATTGTTGTCTTCTTGTCTGACTTACAATACTATGTCATATTGATCTGTATCTCCAATATCCATTTCTCTCACTCCTTTAATATCTGAATTTGCAGAAATTGAACGAGGAAAAGAAGAGGTTGGTGCTGCTTCAACTAAGAAAGGTAAATACAGCTAAACAAACAGATGTCATGACTGTAACTTATTTATGCTACGTTTTCTATGTATATGGCATAGTGCTTAATGAAGAATTTTATTGATTTTACCATTTTATTGATACAGAAACTCATTTTGCACAAGATTTGTAGCATCTATGTTATCAAGGCTTTGTTTTTAGTTGTTCAAATGCTAGTCCTTTTTTTCCTCAAAGTCATAAATTAATGCTACCCTAATTATAGTCAAATTGCAAGTTATCTTTTGGAAACTTGTGGAAATGAAACTACATAAAATCAGTAGGATTCCAGTCATCTCCATGGATCATTCAAATTCAATATACTGCCTTAGGAGGTTAGGGCCTGAACAAATGAAATTTTGGCTAACAAACTCACATGAAAAATATTCACTTTGTACAAGAATAATATGACATTAGGAAATGTAGTCCATGAGATGCTGACTTGGAGCTATTTTGCTTTAAGAAATACATTGGGACATTTGGAGTGAAATCAATAATGTATACAATGTCTTTAAACTTATCTCAAGAGAAAATTTAATAGACTATCCTTAATATATATTCTCTCTCTCTCTCTCTGTCTCCCCAACCCACACAAACTTATACACATATTTCACCAAAATATGTGTATAATATTTTTATAATATTAGTATAAAATTTTTATAATATTTCTAAAAATCTATTTTATTGCATATACTATATAAAGAGTACAAGCCAGTTATGATGGTGCACTCTTGCAATTCCAGAAAATTGGGAAGCTGAAGAAGAAAGATTGCAAAGTCAAAGCCAGTTTCAGCAAACTAGCAAAGTCATACTTCAAAATAAAATTCTAAAAAGTGTTGGGGATGGCTAGGCATGATAGCACATGCCTATAATCCCAGTGACTTGGGAGGCTGAGACATAAGGATCCCAAGTTCAAACCCAGTCTCAACAATTTAGTAAGGTCCTAAGCAGCTTAATGAGACCCTGTTTCAAAATAAAATAAATAAATAAATAAGGGCTGGGGATATTGCTCAGTGGCTAAGCACCAATGGGTTCAATACCCAGTACCAAAAAAAGATGGTTGGGAATGTATCTTAGTGTTATGGTATAACTGGGTTCAATCTCTAGTACAGGAAATAGAATAAAATAGAGACCATGTATCAGAACGGTAGAAATCCATAAGATATATATGACATTTATCTGTATGTTCAAACTCAGATTATATATCTAAATGTAAAGCATTACATGAATGTAAGCATTTACTTAAATTTATATATCCTTTAATGTTTACATATATTATGTATTTAAATATTCATGTATTATGAATATCAATTTATTTAAATATCAATGGATATATAAATTCATAAATATTTGTCTAGCAGAAGGCAACAAAAATTAAATAAAGCATTCTGAAGGTAAGAATAAACTATATTGTGAGGTGATAATTATAAGCAATTGAACTATTAAAATCAATGGGTGTTCTTTTTCCCATACAGCTCTATTATTCTGACTATACAGTAGGCAGGAATAAGGCCTGTTTTATAATCATTTAATTTCCTAATAACCTAATATGTGTGATGTCAGTGATCACAGCACATGATTCATTGATATCATTTTACTCTAAGTGTAGAGTCATGCATTTATTAGAAATCCATATTAATATATTTTCTTTTGTGGTGTTATATTCTGAAATTAACCTTGCTCAATTAAGTAGAATGTGAGTAAAAGCTGGTTACTTTAGAATGGGAAATGCCATGGTATTATGGAAAGGCAAAGGGTCATAATATAGAGTCAGAAAAAGTCATTAATCTAGGCAGAATAGAAGGGCACACGGCCCTATTAAGTGGCTATAAGGCCTTGGCATTGATATATATGTTGAGAGTGAGAACAAAAATAGGGCCAAATTATGTTCAAAATTTATGGTCAAGGGTAAGACCTAATGGAGGTCCAAACAACAGTAGGTAGTTTTCTTTGGGAATTAGATTTCAGATACTGAGACTTAGGAAATCCCAGATTGTGGAAGATGATCAAGAGATAGTTAAAAAACAAAGATTGAACTGCTTCAAAGTAGCTGCTTCAATACAGTGTGAATAACTTTCAGTCTGAGTGTTTAGGTATTAATACAAGCACACATTGTTTGAAGTTCAATCATGTCAAATTGGAGTGAATTGACAGAATTGAAATTGAACAATCAACTACTGAAATCACAAGGGTCTTTGAGGAGAATAGTTCCTGAGTTTGAAGTGTGGGCATATATTTTGGTTGAGGTTAAGAAGAACTGCTTGCTAGATTTAGAGGGAAAAATAATCTGTTTATAAACACAAATCATTGGAACCAATTATATTTCCTCTAGTTAAGCTTAAATATCATGCCTTAATTCTGAATTTAAATATGGTTGTTCATAATTTGCCTAAGTATAACATGAACAGAAACAAACATATCTTATCATTAATGTTTTGAAACTCAGATAGGGCTTTGTCGTTTTGACAAGTTACAAGCAAGAGCTAAAGGAAATTGTCCTCCTTGGTGAGCTAGTATGTACATTTCCTGTACCTGCATTGTGAGCTACCCATGAAAATATGTATTGCTTTCATCATGAATTTAGTATCCAGCTCCCAACTCAACAACACTTAATGTACCTTACAGAATAATTTCAGAGTTATTTTTGTTAGTAAGAAAATTGGAAAATTATTCTACTAAGTTACAGCTTGAACTAAGAACGGTGTGCAGCAATAAGTGGAATTACTGATTTTGCAGTTGTTTAAAAATTTTAAACAATTATATAAATTGTTTCATCTTAAACCTATTTTTAAAAATTATAGACTATTTTTTTGGAGATACATAGGACCTAATTATCAATATGATATTATTGTATTTGTTCTTTTACACTTTGCATTTTTCTATTATTTTCACCTTCATTTAACATATATTTATGATTATATACTATGTGGAAAATCAAAAAATATGAGTTAAATAATATTTTTCTTGAGCAATTGAACAGACTGGGAAAAGAAAAATATTAAGACATTAAGTTGGCTCTAATTTTTACTATCAATTGGAAGTTTTCTTTATAACTGTTGCTCAAGGATTAAAGCTTGGGGTAGCAAAATAAATTTTAAAAATGTGACTTAGAAGTTTAAAACTTATTCTGATGAGGGAATATTAAAAGTGACAAAGTGGCATATAGGTAAATCTTACAAAATGATAGTGTGACAAGGGGTTGTAAAGATGTCTTGGACTTTGGTAACAGAGAAATGCTAGGTGGTAAGAATTTGCAGGATGTGTATGAGGAAGTCTCAAGTCTTAAGATGAGGCTACTTCCCCTTCCATGGCCCTGATGGTCTGGCTAATGCTGATGGCATTTTCCTTGACGAACTTTGGACTATTCCAGTCCTTACAAAGCTAGATTTCTCCATGGCTTTTACCAACTTTTCTTTCTGATGTTGGTTTTGTATTACAACATGATCTTCTAGTTCTCTCCATGTTTTCTTTTTTAAAATTTATTTCTTACATACATGACAATAGTGGAGTATATTACAATCATAATTATCCATTCACAGCACAAGTTTTTGTAACTCTCTATATAAAGTATGTTCACACCAAATTATTCCATTATACATGAGCTCTCTTATTATTTTTTTTGCATTACAATTCTTAATACACCTTTATACTACAATTTATCATATCTCTGTTTGTATATAAGATATGTTGACACCAAATTCACATCTTCATATATGTATTTTGTATAATGATGAGTTTTTTGTAACTTCTTTGCATTTATTTACTTTGATTCCCATTTTTGTTGGTGTACCTCAGATTCCATAACAACTCTGAGCTTACTCTTTACCCTCTTCTTGTGATAAATATATACATATATATATGATATGCTGTCAAGATTAAGATTCTGTCCTTTATCTTGAAGATCCCAATACTGTGACCACTTCAGAACTTCATGATGAATTACAGGCTTACATGTTCAACTTCCCAATAAACACCTTCAAATTCAACCTGTATTAACCTAAACTCCTCAATCCTTTTTTCCTGAGTTGCTTTCTGTTTTCTATCCTTCGCCTCACTAGAAATCTAGCTATTATCTTTCCTCTATCTTTGCACCACCTGTTTATTCAAAGAATCTCAAAGTTCTGCTGACTTTATTCCCTAAAGAGTTCTTGAATGTATTTTCTCTTATAATCGTTACTACAACACAAGTCCAGCATTGATTATCTTGCACCTGAATCATTATAAGACCTCACTAGTGCCCCTACATCTTAACAATTATGCCAGAAGAAGCCCCAAAGCCATAGTAAATTATCCAAGCCATAATACTGAATAAACCACTCTTTATTTAATAATTTCCTCTCTCCAGTTTCCCATAAGTTCAATTTATTAAAATGCAAATAGAATCTCCCAATATCTGATTTCTATATCCTTTTCCAAATTTATCTTTCAGACATGCCCTGTTTTGTATGTTACCATAATACTCATATTTGCTCATATTTCCAAATATACAAGATGTAAGATTTAGGAAGTAATAGGTCAGATGGCCTCATGAACACATTGTATAGTTCTCATAATCTGAGAATTGATGAAAAGAACCTCCCTTCCAGAAAAAGGACTGATGCAATACTTTTCTTTATAATTATTGATTCATTCCACTGTTTCCATCATTGACATTTCTAAATATTACATTTAAAATCTGAATAAAACTTTGATAAATAATATTCTTTCTTATATCCTTAGAAATAGTGGCTCCTTCATCTAAAGCTATAGGCCTACCTCCAAGAAGTAATACATAAGTGTCACATGAGGACATTTCAGCTAATGAGCAAATGACAGTCCTCATGGGTGAGGCAGGGCAAGAAAGGAGAGATGCAAATGCTATGAGAGATTTGCATTTCTAAGGAAAATTCTGGAGAGAAATAAAGAAAAAAATGCCTGGAACTCTAGAAAACCAACTTTTCCTTTACCCTGTTAGGTCAGGCCTAGCCCTAATCCAAGTATCACAATCTATGGATGGAAGTTGTGGTACTTTTTTTTCTTTAAGTTAGTTGTCTCTCTGAAGTAGTGCAATATAAACTGACCTCGCTCTCCCTCTTTCTTTCTGTTCTCTTCCTTCCTACTCTTCTTTCCTTCTTTTCTCTCCTACCTAAAATAAACCCCTTCAAATGAAGACCAAAAAATATATACATTTCTTCTCACAACAGCAAAGGAGGTTTCAGGTATCCTGTAGTATAGAAAGAGAAATTGATTAAGATCTTCTTTTGTTTCCAGGCCATTAAAATTACTCACTTAGATGAGCTGTTTATTCCCAAAGTTTATTCTCCATAGAATTAGGCTTCATGAATTTTACATTAGAACCATGAATGAAAGAATCAACATTTAATGCAAAATGTCATCTTTTCTGTACAGATAATCAGCATTTTCAGTGACCTTTTCTAAGTAACAAAAATAGTGCTTTAGGAAAGTAGTGTCTCTATTTAATAGGAATGCTAGGAATTATTAATCCATCACTGAAAAGAAAATTTGGTCTTTATGGTTAAATAACTCTCAACTGTTTTCTGAGAGTCAGTCTTCAAATGATTAAAATAAAATAATAATTAAATATATATGCATGTATTTGTATTATTCTACACATTTATAATAGGTCTTCTGAATAGGTAAATTTGCATAAGAATGCACACCCATGTGTACCCATGTAACTCTGTTACAATTGATTATGAATTGTCAGCATTTTATTTCTGCACTGATCTGAAGGGAAACATTCACAGAAGACACGTCTTTCTTGCTCTTACAGATCCATAAAAAGTCTAATATAGTTTTTTTTTTTTTTTTTTGGTCCAGGCTTTCTGCAGGGCCCAGCCTCCATTTTTAAACTATCTCCATCTCATGCGTAGCATGTTCACTTTTCTTGAGGAATATCTAGGCTTGCCTAGGTCTGTGTGCTTCTTCACATCAGTTGGAAACTTCAAAATTGTTCCTCTTCAGAGAAAACCACTCACACAAAAACTTATCCCTCTTCTCTCTTCACTCAGAATATATACCAAAGCATTTCATTTTTTTTTAACTAGCATACTTTGGCATCAAACAAATCCATATTGAGTGTTTCCTATGTCAGGAGCAATGCTAGGTGCTGTAATAAATGCAAACAGCGCATTTCTAAGTATCCCATGGATCAAAGGGAAAAAAACTGTGAAATTTTGGAAACATGATAAACTAAAAATGTGATGAAAACACAACATTAAAACAGCTAAACTGTGGAGAGGGAATTTATACTCTTTTATAATTTTCATTAAAAAAGAAGAAAGGCAGGGCTGCAGGTATAACTCAATAATAGAATAGTTCCTTCACATGCATGAGACCATGAGTTCAGTCCTCAGCACAAAAATAAAACAACAATGACCAAAAATCAAAAACAAAACAAAACTTGCTGAAATCAAATATCTCAGAAGCCACAATTTTTTTCTTAAATATAAAAAGCAAACCCTCCAAAAATAGATGACAGAGAAATAAAAAATAAACTATCAGAAGCTAATGAAATAAAAATCAAATATAAAAAATAAAGATCAGAATACAGCAGAATACAACTGACACTAGGATAGCGTATACACATAGATATATAACCAATGGGATCCGGTAATCTGTACACATGGAAAAATGAGAACTCATAACCTATTTGAATCAAATGTATGATATTTCAAGATCATTGTATTGTATTGAACAATAAAAAAAGAAAAAGAAAGAAAAAAATCAAATAAAAAATGAAAATCAAAGAGTGCAGGACAGACAGCAAAATTAAAAAAAAACACTAAATTCCATCCTTTATGAGAAGCACATGTAAAATTGATAGATCTACAAAAAGCATATGAAAAGCACACAGCATCATTACATAGCAGGGAAGTTCAAATTAAATCCACAATTTCATACTACTTCATACTTACTTGAAAGACTAAAATTTTTCAAAGGAGCAATATTAGAAATTTTACCCTTTAAAGGAAAATTGTTTTTATTTATTTTTTCATTACAGTATGAGGGAGAGATATGAAACACTTCATTATTTCCGTATTTAGTGCTTCCAGATTCTTATACTTAGTGTCTATAATTCTAGAGATGTTTAACCATTTCCTCTTCAAATATTGCTTTTCTTCCTTGTGTTCATTCTTTACTTTAAAACATTCAATTAACTTTACATTAAAAATAATTCTATTGTTTCCATTTGTTACTTCCTGTGTATTTCCCATATTTTTGTCTCTCTTGGGATTTCTTCCCACTGGTAATACTAGCTTCCTATGCGCTGTGTCTAACTCATCCCTTTCCAGTTTTAATTGATATTTTCCTACAGTTTTCTTTGCTTATTTACCAAATTTAATTTGCTTAAAAATGTGTCCCATCTCTAAATTTTGATCCAGGAGAATGAATAGGTGTTTGCCTGTAAAAGAGGGATGATTGTGTTTAAGGCAGCGATAAATAGAATAGCATGTTCTAGTTACTGATTGGTGGTTGCACAATCCCTTAGAGAAACCATAATTGTGTTTGTTCTTAAGGAATTTGATAATTCAAGTCTGTATCACACAATTCTTTTCTGGTTCTAAATCATTTCCTGGAATTCTTCCTCCCAGGAGTACCTTAGGAGTGCTGCCACCATTTTCATCAAGATCAAAGCCAAGTTGCTGTCTCCCTTCCACTGTCCTAGCCTAACATTGACCTTGATTTAATAAAAACAGCAAAATCGAGGCACTCATTGGAATTTACCTCATTGAAAAATCCTTTTGATAAGATTTCCTTGCAGGTAGGGTTTATGAGGCTCATAAATATTTATTTGCTTTTTTAATTTAACTCTTTCTTCACTTCAAAGTCATGTGGATCATGCCCTGGATAACAAACAAAATGAGTTTCTCTCATTGAAATATTTCTAATAAGCACATATCAAATTATTAGTTTATCTGTTGTCTTTTTTTGAAGCCAGTATATTCTAAGGTGAAATAGCCCACCACTTTCTTATTCCTAATGATCTTCTTTTCTTCTTTCTTTCCTTTCCTTCCTATTATCCCTCTTTCCCCCTCCTTTCTTCTTTCTTTCCCCTCAACATTGACTCTAAAAGATCAGGGCCAGTCATCTTGTAGACATTTTTGATTGGTTGATTGTTTATTCAGAATATTGTTTAAAATGTTCTCTACATCTGTATTGATTGAGCTAACTGAATTTCATTTAGTTGTTTTGGTAAAAACACTGCAGAGGTGCCATTGTGTACACTGCAGGGCATCTCATCCAGAAGCACAGGATCACTGAAATCTCTCTATGTATAAGTTATTCTAAGTATCATCAGTGAGTTAAGCTAGTGACAGCCACATTTATTTATTTTAAAATTGAATTTCCCCCTTTTGTAACTCTCTGTGGGTTGATGCTTGGATGTGATGGCAATATTCAGTTCCTCTTTAATCCTTCATGAAATGGTTGAATGGTTGCTGGTATCCTCTGAAGATTTGTACTTGAATCAATTATTTTAAGGATCTGCACTGATTTTGTGCAAGTAATTTCTACTGTTTTGATGTCTAAAGAGATAAACAGTGAATACTCCAGTAAGAGCAATAAATACTAGAGAAGGCATAATTCTATGGACATAGCACTTAAATGATGCCATTATTTCTCTTTTGGTTACTAGTGATTTGGGATGGGTTCATTTAATATTTGGATAAATCTCAAGCATGACTACATTTCCTTTCAGTTGATTAAGCCACATTAAGCTTAAATTTAAAGGAGCATCTGGTTGACATTTGCCAGACACTAAGTGACTCTAGCAATAACCTGGAATGTAAGTCCATTAATCATAGTCCTGTCAAGTGGAATTCTTTATAGAGCTTGCTTATCAAAGCAGAGTATAAAAGAATAAAGTTGAAAAGAGTGTGAAAAAAATAGTCAGAAGATGGGAAAGGATTATTGCTTTTTCTGTAATTCTTTAGGATTAGATTTATAATAGGTTTCTATTGCATTATGGAAAGATGAGAAATGTTTAAAAAGAATTTAAAAATGTCTTGTGTAGAATAAATATTCAGTATTGAGTGAATTCTGAAATGCTGTTTTAAGCAGAAGCAGCATTTTTGACTGGGTCTCTTATTTAAACCTTATCTTTATGTTGCAGCTGTACCTGGAAAGAAAGAAGAAAAAACAACCAAGACAGTGGAGCAAGGTAAAAAAAAATGAAGGAGGTTGACATTATCTTCTTTAGAAAGACAACAACATGTGGAGGAGAGCCCTGGCTTCAGACAGGCGGAAGACAATACCTTTAAATCTATGCTCCATGTCACTGTCCTTGCATGTTTTTTCTGTGCCAGGGAGAATGTGAGGTAGCAAGCTGGGTTTGTCTTTCTTTTGTGAATAAAACTTTGAGTATAAATTCAGAACAGGGAAACTCCACAGAGTGCTTAATTTCATCAGCAGAAATGCTCAAGATTGCTGGGGATAAGGAAATGAACTGGAACAATTGGTAGAAGTACTTGTTTGATTTTTGGTTGCAATAATATCACATTGCTGATCATAGTTTGAAGAATAAAGATGACATCATCCTGTTTACCAACAAGAAAAAGATTTTACATTGCTTGGAAAATAATATGTAAAAATTAAAATACAGGAGATAAACAACAACAAATGAAAGCTATTCAAATGTATATGATGACTTCAGCAATTGCTGTTTCCCAGGTCTGAAATTTCAGCTACAAATCAAAAACGTCATTAAATAGTTCTGTATATTTTAACATGGTTGTATTATAACTAGATGTATAGTTTAGGGAAAAAAATATCTATAGTACACCAGACTTGAGACATTTACACTTATACTGCACCTCCTCTTAAAGCTCAAAGTGTGCCAATAATTTTAATTGCTGTCCCCTTCTACTTTTTACATAATATTATTATATTTATTATTTATTAAACAAAATTTGAGCTGACAATAATTTTTCAAAAGTCAAAATAATTCTTACTTTCATAGTTGAGATGGAATAAAGTTTAGTCTCTTAATATCAGAAATTTAGAATTTTTGATACATATCTATCAAGAAACTCATTTCTTTCCTCACATTTCAGATTAGTGAACTGAGATTAAGGATTCAGTTAAGTGAAAAGATTGGTTAAAGATTTATTTCCTTGGGCTCTTCAAAATATGATAACATTAAAATTTTATTAATAAAATTTTTAAATTTATTTGGGCTTCTGGGTACCACCTGACATATTAGAATTCCATGGCATATTTCTGTAAACTTCTTTTTAAAACAAAATATATACTTTAGTCTCCAGAATGTAAAGTAGAAGCACTAGTCCCAATTTCAGCCTGTTCACTTGTGCAAGTTTCTGATCCTAAATTTCTTCTTTAACAATTGAAGATAATTATACCTGACCTGCATATCTGACAAGATAGTGTATAGTTCAAACAAGAACACACATGTGTAAAGGATGTGAAAAATTTAAAAACCTAAATGTTAGTATAGTACTTTTTAGGTGTTTATCTCTTATGAAATCCATTTCAGTACAGGTGAGAGAATTTTCAAGCCACTTTGACCCCACTGAGCTTCATAGTTTTGTTTCCCTCTGGTGTAGTGGTGATTGCTCAAGATGCTCATAGATTGCATTTATATTCACAGCATGTTAAGAGAAAATTGACCAGAATATAAAACACTCTCATGAATAATAATGTACCTAACAGATAACTGATTTGACCACCTGTTGTTTATTTCTTCTCACCTGCCTGTTAGCATCAGTTTCATTGATTCTATAATGTTTTTGCAAATGGCCAGAAACTGAAATTGACTCTATGACATGAGAACTTTCTCCTTTTCGTATTATTTTATAGTTTTGAATTATAATGTCTTTTGCCTTATGATAACTTAGGCCTTTTATTTGTGTAAAAAAATAGAACTTCTTTCACTGGCTTTTTTTATATTGACATAGTAAATCATTTCAGCTTTAAATATTGTATGGCAGTGGCCTCATATTTTTCAACTCTAACAGTAACAGGAAATAGTGTATTTTGATATGTTGCCTGTTTTGTGATTATATATCTATGACTAATAATTATTATGAAAATAGATATTTCAGAATTTCATAAAGCAGGGAGTTTGTGTGAGAATAAATTAGAAGTAACTGTATTCTTGAAATTTCACCATAGCATTCATAAGATAATACTTTAAGAATTGATGTACCTTTTTATCTAGTTTTTAGTAATCGTTAGAAATATAAAAATATACAAGTAGTTCATAGTGCCTTAAAATACAATTAAGTATTCATTTAAGCTTGAACTTGTGGACTTTATTAGAAACACATTATGATATTTGTACTCATCAAGGTTCTAAAGCACTTTGTGATATAGATTGAACATCTGGATTTAGTTTGCATTACAGTTATACTTTGGAAACATTAAGGTAAACTTTACTTATGGGAAATTCATATTAGAAAAGGTGAAATAGAGTTTATGTTAATATGATTATCTGATGGGACCTCATAACATGTAAGAAATGGAAATTTAGTCAAAGTTCTGCAGAACACCAAAAAAAAAAAAATCACTGTTTTTTTTTCTCTAGTCCATGATGAATTATATGATATTCAATTATTTTTCTTATGAAGATCTTGAATTGGGACATTGCAGTTTGGAGTAATAAGCAGTACTTTATAGCCGGGCATGGTGGCACATACCTATAATTCCAGCAGCTCAAGAGGCTGAGGTAGGAGGATCATGAGTTCAAAGCCAGTCTCAGCAAAAACAAGGCATTGAGCAACTCAGTGAAACCTTGTCTGTAAACATAATACAAAATAGGGTTGGGGATATGGCTTAGTAGTTGAGTGCTCCTGAATTCAATCTTTGGTACCAAAAGAAAAATAAATAAATATTTTGAGACTCCTCTACTTTGAAGGTGTGTGCACAAACAGACAGCATTAATATTCCCCCTGGTTTATAAATCAATTACCTAGGTAAACCAGAATACTTCTTTACTGTGCTTACACAGTAAAAAGTTCCTATCCTTATAGGGAGAATTAAGGAATGTCAAAAAAAAAAAAAAAAGTTACTGCATGTGCTACTCTATGAGGATTCATGTTTATACATTTTTATATTATATCTTGAAAGATTATATTTCAATAATACAATAACTCATTATTGCAAACTGCTCATTTGCTGATATTTGATTTCAAATATATAGGTGTACATTTTCTTCATTGGTGTTCCTTTTCACAATTGATCTGCCCTCCTAAACTGCATTTTCCTTTCTTTATTCAGTCTCTCTCTCTCTCTCTCTCTCTCTCTCTCTCTCTCTCTCTCTCTCTCTCTCTCTCTCTCTCTAGAATAAAGTGAAGTAGAACAGAATCACCCAG